GTTGCGTCAGGGGTAGCGTACACAGTTGGAGATCAGAGGGTTACAAGTTCAAATCCCGCAAAAAAAGGTTTTATTTCTTTCAATTTTTATTTTTTTATAATTTTTATTGGGTATGCGCGTTATTTTACTTATTTATTTATTTATTTATTGCGAATGAGCACCCCCGTTTCATCCCTGGGAAACCATTTCGCGCAGGGTACTAGGACGCTGCCACTCCAGCGTCCCAGTACCTACGCTGGAGGCGCTGGTACCAGCGCCATACTGGGCCCATAATCAGGCATGGCGCTGGACACTGGTACCCAGCGGCACTGGTTTTTGCAATAGGGAAATATGATTATTAAGCAGTGCGATTTGAACGGTTCACTAAAGAAGACTGCGAAGAAGGGAATACCTTAAAACGCAGCATGCTTCACCTTAGCAGACGACTAACAAGCGTATCCATGACGTGGTGTGCACGGTGGAAATATGTATTTCGACCACGTGTACCATGGCCAGACGACACGTGCTCGCGTGTTCATTGATTGATGGATATGTGGGGTTTAACATCCCAAAACCACTGCATCATTATGAGAGGCGCCGTAATAGAAGGCTGTGGAAATTTCCACCACCTGGGGTTCTTTAATGTGCTCCCAAATCTGAGCACACGGGCTACAACATTTCTGCCTCCATCGGAAATGCAGCCGCCACAGCCGGGATTTGATCCCACGACATGCGAGTATGTTCATTCTAACAGTGCTCACTGTCCCGGAGCCCTCCACTACGGCGTCTCTCATAATCAAATGGTGGTTTTGGGACGTTAAACCCCACATATCAATCAGTGCTCACTGTCGCATTATGAGTCACCTTCGAAAGATCAGAAGACTGACATGATGAAAGGGTTGGTGGTGTTCGATCGAGCGCGATTGCGTTATTATCCAAGTGTGGCGCACACGCCTCCGGACTTTACTATTACGTGCATTTTATATCGTATTTAATCGTTCTTCCTGACCATGGCCTCCTTTCACCAAACTACCGTTATCATACTTTGGTCGCTTAGTGTAGGACGTGCCTGTCGTATCCTTTGTTTGAGTAAATTTTTCAACCTGATAACTCCGCAAGACCATCACCTAGGTCATACCTGTGCTCGCAATTCATATCAATTCGCAACGCTTCGGCAGTCCCGTCCTATAGTACTGTCTAGCGAGCATTGATCGGAAGCGCAGCGTGTTGCCGAAGTAATTGTTAGGCTGTTGTTTAACGGCCCATTTTGACGGCAGTGGTCAGCTAAAAAGGAATATTCGTCAAGCCGCAGTCTGGCTGGTTCTGCGTTGGTGAGTGTCTATAGTATTAGCTTATTTACCCCTTACTCATGATCATTACGCCGGCGCCATTGGCTTCATTTTATATATGAGTTTCCAGAGGTACTCACTTGTAAAGTACATTCATGGTCGAAATCGTTGAGGCTGCTGGCCCGAAGGTCACGTGATAGAGTCTCGGCCGTGGCGAACGCCTTTTAGATGAAGATGAATAGGCCTTGAGAACCACTTGCTTACATTTAGGTGCATCTAAAAGAACCCCAGGTGTGCGAAATTTTTGGAGCCCTCTCACTATGGCGTACTCTCAGTAACAGCATAGTGTTTTGGGACGTTAAGTCCCAACGATTGTAGTTGAAATTCTAGAGACGACGGAACCACGTGGCAATGCAGAACCACGGGGCCTTGTGATGGCTCCTTTCGCATGTTTCACAACGTGCACCTCACCCCACTTGACGCGCTTCCTTTACAGTAGTGCACAAGTTTTTTTTTTCCGGCAGGGGGTTGGGGTGGCGTGAGCCCGTGGTCAAGCGCTACGTTTGTATGTGTGCGTAAGTGAGGAAACTAACACTTTCGGAAAACGTTGAAACAACCTCTCCTCTCCCTTGACTACGCCTGTGGTCTTTCCCCTTCCAAATTGCATTTGGAAGAAGAAAAAGCAATCTGCATGCTTAAGTTTGGCCAAATGAAAGCTGCTGGGTCATGCAATCGCATAAGACAATTTAAGAAAAAAGTGATGATAAGAATGGTTTGCGTGGAGCGGACTGTCCTGGAAAGGATGCGTAAAACGTGGTGCGCAACGAGAATCGCCAGTACAAGCTACGTGTTTTCTTCACAATGTCATCACTCGGTGTAGCTTGTTTGGTGACAATCAGTGGCACCTACAGCGTTCCACTTGTGATGTTGTGGCATTCCGGCCCGCACACTTAAAGCAACTGAACAAGCAGGCTTCGATGGGAAGGGGGATCGCATGCGCAGAACATAACCTATAGAACTTCTCAAGCACCGCGGTTCATTTTCCTGTGGTCTGTATAAAACTCCGACCGCGTCACTACACTTCTGGAGCGAAGAGAGCCAGATAGGTTGAAAAACTAAAATTTGTTTTATTTCTGTGAAAGCCCGAGAATGCACTGAACGAGCCCTGCAGGGCCTTTAATAAGCCGTTGAGCGACATCTCCCGGTTTCTATGTATCGATTCAGAATGACCCTGCTTTTAAGTAAAAGGTATAAAGGCATTGGTATGCTTTCACAATCGCGGGATGTGGGAATAGCATTTGTAATACAACGCGCTGGCTGTCAAAATTGTAAGCATTGCTGCAAAATTAGAAACGCTTGCACAAAATGCCCTGAACTCTTACTGTTTTTCCTGAAACATAATCAACAAGTACTCCTCATGGGAAAGGCAGTCTATCCTAAGTTCCCCCGCATATGTACAGCGCAACTTCTTACTGAAATCAGAACCATTACAATGTAACCAGTTATGTTTTTACCATGAAGCTGTGTTATGCTGGGAATTTCGGAATATTCGTGAAGACAAGATATAGGGCGGCAACCACTGCGATCAAGATTGTCCTATCTTGTGGGAGTGCACAGACGTCTTGAATGAGTTTATAGCAAGGGTAGTGGCACTAATTTAAACGTAGGCTATTTCAAATGTGACCGTCGCACCACCTTGTGGCGTTAGATGGAGTAACGGCTTAGCGGTGTTTTGAAACTGTAGAGACCAAAAGCATGTATCAGACAACGCTTTTTGCGAGACTTTGATTGTGCTTCTGCATTACATAACTGTACTCAACCTGGAGAACACGTTAGCACGTCCGCACTGATGCGTGCGCTGGAATTAGTGTAGGTATTTTAAATAACACATCATATTCCTTCTTTATTACGTCATGATCAGAAAGACGTCTGTCGGTTTTATCAAAAACGAAAGGGAACACGGAAGCTGCGCGTTGACTTGCGCTTTGAATTTGCCATCAGTCGTACATCCCCCAGAAGAAGCAGTGGCGGAACGACAAACGTCTTGCGTACTCAAGAGGAGCATCAGCAGCCCGAGTAACTTTGTGTGTTCTCAAGAGGAGCATTGGCAGTACGAGCAATGGCGTGACGTCCCCAAGAGGAGCAATGGCACTACGACGAACGTCGTGCGTGCCAGTAGGAGGAACGTCGTACGTTCCCAAGTGGCGCATAGACAGTACAAGGAATGCGTGGACTGTCTATGCTCTTCGTTTGAGTAAACTTCTCAGCATGATAGCTCCGCAAAGACCATCACCTAGATCATACATGTGCTCGCCATGAATATCAATTCACAACGCATTGACAGGAGGAACATACGCAGTACAAGTAACGTCTTGAGTTATCAAGACGAACATTGACAGCATAGAGGAACGCTGTGCTTTCTCAACAAGAGCATTGACAGTAAGAGGAACGTCATGCGGTCCCAAAAGAAGCGTTTGTCCTACGAGGAACGTCGTGCGTTCCCAAGAAAAGCTTTCGCAGTACGATGACCGTTGTTTTCTCAAGAGTAGCATTGGCAGTACGAGGAACGTCGTACGTCCCCCCCCCCCAAAAAAAAATAAGCATTGGCAGTGCAAAGGACGTCGTTGTGCCCAGAAGCGCATTTGTGTGCGACACCGTCGAAGCAATGCCACCAACGACGTCAAGGAAAGGGAAGCCAAATGAATTTTCGACGCTAGCCATCTGAATGGCTCCCGAGCTTTGCTGACCTTTTATTGTCTCAAAGAGGCTCTAATGTTTTACTATACTTTTCCGATTATTAAAAAGAAGCGCAAGTGCTTGCTAGACTGGAAGTGCCCCGAATGGACACAACAGCATGAAGTGGTTGTAGGGCCGCTAAGAAGTATATTTTTAGCGCCGAATATAAAACTTCATTCTACTCTTGTGGTAATGTATTTCAGAACTTGAGATAGTCATTATAAACTAGCAAAGATTCTACCGTGACTGGAAAGCTAGTCCCTGGATAAAGAAAGCAGTTCGCACCTCTCAGTTTCATAATAAGTTCTGGCAGTCTATGTTCGGTCAGTGGCCAAGATACTCATTGCTTGAATTCCCACGTCACGCCACAAGTAAATGTCACGCGAGTTTCCTCATAACACGAGTAGAGGATCAACTGCGTTTTGCGCATCTGGTTCGTGAAAATGTATGACTCAGAAATACCTTACAGGTGCTTATAGAAAGAAAGTGCATTCCTCTCTTTTCCCCTGTCTAAACACTTTACGGCTTCCCGAATATTATAAGTCATGCTTAATATATATCTTTCCCGGGATTTGCGATTTCACGATGGGCGCAAGTGAATCCGCACAGCAACCAACAGAAATTGGCAAAACATTTTTGTCGACCAGTTGGTTCATGCGGATTTATTGGCAGGCAAAAAGAAAAGAAAACGTAGATGAAACAATGCCTGAATTTTGCCGGGTTCATAGTTTCTGCTTTCTCCACACGCGTCGCACATCACATAACCAAGCGCTCATTTTCCGGTGAGGTATTGCTCCACTAGTTTTCATGCCTTTCTTGATGTCATCTGATATCACTTCCTAGCAATAACGAACAGCTTGTGATTTCCTATTCAACGCTGTCAGAGAAGCCCTTGTTTAGTAGCAATCGTCGTCATTTCAGGAAGAACTCCAGCTGTCGGTGTCACGCAGGTTAAACGAATCGAATCGTCCGTGCTTTGACGAATGAGCAAAACCATGCACAAACACCTTATTGACATCACTACGCATGCGTCAAATCTGATTCTAGCTTGTCAAAATGTGGTTCACCAAGACCTACTACTTCTTGGTTCTTGTGGTCATTGCAAGTTGCCATTTCCACAAGCGACCACACAGTTCCCGTATTGCTGTTGACTCCTCCAAAGTAATACAGGTAAGGCTCTCACGCACGTGCGAACATCGACGAATTGGCATGCCACATACTCAGAAAGCTGTTTGATGACGCGAGCGGTTACTCTGACTGGCTGGTTTGTGTGACTTTTAGAGTTTGAGCGTTACATACATGAGAAAAAAAAAGAATGCGTGCACACACTGGAGTGTCACTATTAGTGCCCAATCTGCATTTTGTCGCTATCTTTTTTAGCGCTCCACCCCGGCAGATAGCGAAAATAGCATTTTTAGTGCAAGAAATGCTTTGCGCAAGTATGCTTGTTAATGGAACGTTTTTATTACGCTTTAGCTTCACCTAAGGCGCACTTTACTCGCATTTTGACAAAGAGGCAGCGAAGAACATCGAAAAATTTGGAGAAGGAGAATGGATTGGCAGGACACGCTGTAAACGTCCCATATTTTACATTTAAATGTAGAATGGAAGTTTCAACAAAAGAAGAAACTAAAAGCAGGTGTACCAGCCGCGTGATATAGGGGTGCAATAGCAATAAACACCCTGGTCACTACACTTCTCGAATTGCAGTAGTGCAAAGAGAGGGCAACGTATGGACACTGAACAATTAGGCGTGTGTTATATCTATATAGGCGAACGCTCAGTCAGTAACTGATACATATTATATTGGTAAACAAAACAACATGTGCATTATGAAAGCACGTTCATAATATTTGAGTCGTTTTAGAATTTGCTGATATTGTGATTCATTGCACCGTGCTGTTTTTAAGAATGTTCAGCATTCATAAAACGAGCAATGTGCACAAGCGTGGCCGTCAACTTTCATAGACGATTTGCCAACACTTTTCTATCGAGGAGTATAGCAATCGCTCAAGTTTAAAGATTTCGCTCGTGTATGTTTCATAGCACGATGAGCTGCGACATCAGTTGTTGTTTTTCAACCCCCTTTCTGACAACATGCCTCTAATGGGACGAAAAAAGCATTTGAATAATCGGTGGCCCTATTCAGGAACATTAAATAAAAAACAGGATTAGGCAGCGCCACTCGCATGACCGACGGTTAAGCTAGACCATTTTTTTTTGCTATGGCGTCATGGAGCAGCCCGTTCGTTCACGTGCTACGTGACGTCATCTGGCAAAAGGAGTATTCCATACTTGCCGTCATAGCTGGGAGCAGGCACTAAATAACACTGTCAGGTTTCCGATAACTCGACGAGGGGACGACTTCCAGCGTAACTCATAATAAGGCCTTGGACGCGCAATCGGAAAGTTGTTGGTGCGGTGCCTGTCACCGGGAAGTTTTCTTTGCAATTACTTCACTTTTTCACATCAATATGAAACCTACTAAAATGCACTTTAAACTCCACAATTAACGCCCCCTACACCTTCTTCAGCTTTATTATATACTAGTGTTTAATAAAGTTATGTCAAAATGAAATCTTCAACACTTTGTTTTTAATGCTGTTTAAGAGCACACGCTTTTAGGTAGCTCGACAAAGTAGCCACGTGGCAGGGAGGCGAAGATTCATCGCAATGCCTTCCCGCTTCTATACCATTTAGGTCAAGTTATAGGGCAAAATTTGTGCCCCTCCTCGTTGCGGTGTCTAGTGAGGGTTATTCCGACCACCCACCATCGAATAAGATTGCTTGGATCTAGTAGACATGTACAAATATGAAACTATTATTACCAAGGATTTCGTCGTACTTTGATTGTATGTTACACAACTGCATCCACACAGATGGTGACTTCAGTACCGTACATGGCTGCAGTATATATATCCAGCCCCAACCCAGAATACCAGTGCCTGACGGCGTCCCTGACAAGTTTCAATGAAAAATTGCAACAGGGCAGCTATTCATGGTACTTCAAGAGTCTAACTGACCACAAGACGTGAGTGTTGGAAGACTGCTGAAAGAAGCACCGTTGAAAGAAGAATGCGTTGGTAGTTGAGTTGCGGCCCGTGAACTGTCTAGATCATTGGTTGCTGTGACCTTTCGTATGGAACATGTTCAGTGCACTTGACGCCTCAAACGGTTTCTAGAATAATGTTTTATGCACGAGAAAGCAACGTATAAAGGCGCAGATGTAACAATGAGCCGCAAAATTCTCTGTCATATTGTTGTTGCATATTATGACCTGGTTTCTGTTGCATATGCTTCTCATGGTTTTATCGAAAAAAAAATAACTTTCACAACAGTCCAAACCACTGGAACAGGAATACTGGCCTCTCGAATTCAGTCGGCATCATTAGAAATACAAAACACATGCATGTGAATTGGCCTGAACACCATTATCTATCATCACAGAGCATGTTTTTGTGGTAACAATTGTCTGAATGGAAGAACATACTAAATTAAGGCTTCAAAGTGGGTAACTGATAAATGTAAATGATGGCGAGTAAAAATGGAACTCGAAGCTGTTCGAGGATGCCGTGGATTAGCTTCCTAATGGCGATTTTATGGAACTGCCTTTAGGCTCAATGAACTTGCGTTCGTTAACGAAACAATGCATTGATCATCCTTGTGCGGCCAACAATATTTGTAGGGTGTAGATGTTGTTTAGTCTTATACAAGTGATATTTCAAAGCACACGTGCTCTTTAGTTTGACATCCAGAACAGAGCGCGGTATTGTATTAAAATGTGAGCAGGTGAACCTGCAGGTGTAGGAGGAATTTCACAACAGCTCAAACGAAATGTGGCTGATACCACTCAGTGGCAGAATAACTTTGTTTCAGTAGAATGTGGTCATGATTCATTTTGCATGATTTTGTATTTGACTCGTGGCAGCAGAACTGCCGTTGCCATCTGCGTGCATGTTCTTTTCATTCTTGAAGTGAGGCCAAGAGGCCAAAGAAGCGTTATTTTAGGCCAGATAATATGCCGTCCTCCCCACATATACAGTCGAATGCGTACAGCTGCTGGAATCTTCAAATAACGTGCTTGAGCTACAAGTTTAGTGCGTCCGCATCGTACGAAGGAGCTGAGTTGCAAATGGGGCAGGTGTAGGCTCGTGGCTACAAAGCGCGGGCTCACGCAAGCCGAGCGTCTGCTAGGCTCTCCGTTCTTTTTGGAGAACGCAAACCTATATCAGTTCATATCATACGAAGAGACAGCTTGAGCAGGGAGATGGTTTTGCTCGTATTTTATTTCTCTCAGGTGAACCCGAGAGCCAGAAATCGATGAAATATCTTTTAATGAATCATGACACTTCCGCACTCATGCGACACGCAGAAGAGCTTTGTCTGTCTGAAGTGTGCTAGCTTGGGCTTACGTCCCTAGAACGAACAGCCCATCAGAGTGCCGCTGAGCGAGTTTTCTCGGTTTGCGCTTACCCTCGCCGTGTCTGCAACTCTAGTCCGTCATGCAGCAATGACGCACAGAAATGTCGTCGTTCACATGCTAGTCTGATTGGGGTGACTGTGCATAGTTATGTGATAGACGTAAATGGAGCACATATCTTCAAAATCTGCGTGAATGTCCTTCCGGCAAATGAGAAGACATTTGTTCGAGGCTATTCGGTAGTCAATTAGACACAACATTTTAGAAAATTTCTTGTTGCGGGCATTCAGCGCTTCCGCTGTATATGTGTACACATCTGCAGTTGTTAGGTGAGTAACAGCTGAATTCAAGATCGATGCCGTTGCTGCTTTTCAGTGTGGTCAAGCAGGTGAACTTCGACGTCACACCAGGGAACTCTTCTGATACGCTACACTTCACGATTGAAGGAGGTATGTGCCCGACCGAGAACGGCTGGAATATATTCCAGCCGGTCTTGGTCAATTGGCGGGTATATATTGAATTGATAGTGGGCGTGAAAGGACGGGGGCATGATTTGACTTGATTGATATGTGGGGTGTAAAGTCCCAAGACCACCATATCGTTATAAGATACGCCGTAGTGGAAGGCTTCGGAAACTTCTACTACCTGGGGTTCTTTAACGACCACCCCAATGTGAATACGGGTACTAGATGAGCGTAGAAATACCAGCTCACAATGAAATTAAAAGAAAAATAACGAATGTAGATATTTTCCAACAAAACCGTGCAAACATTACCCTGCGCATAGCGATTGAACTTGTCGTGACCTCGGGAGCAATACAGTTAGAATAAAATAGAGATTTTTTTAAACTTCTGAACATATGTTTTCTTATCTACAAAAGATGGCTACTACTTCCCAAATTACTTCTGATTTCTTGGGATGAAACAGGCCTGGACTAGCTGTCAAAGTAGCGTATCCCCAAATGTCGAAAACTTAGATGCCCTAGGTATTAGCGCAAGGTGGATGTTTCTACACTGTGGTGGCAAACGTAACTTGTCTATTATTATTATTACGGAAAGACCACTCATCATTCTTCATCATCGATACAGTACCTCGTCCTGTCGGATAAGCAGCCTTACACATTTCAGCGGGAATTCCGCAATTGACGGTAAAAATCCGAAGCTACAGAACATCTCCAAGGTTCTTTCCAATTAATGGTACGAATTCTGACGCTGACCAAGGTTAGGTGACGGTAACGCAACAATAACGCAATAACGGTTAGGTGACTCAATAATTTACACGCCACAAAAAATAAGAGTGGGCACTTCGTACATTTTAAATTACTCGGATTGTTCAATACTTGCGAAATTCAACCCCTTCATACACTTTGTGTCGAGCAGCTACTTTTTTTGATAAACGCTAAAGGACAAGGCCAGAACCTGTGTTCGATTCGGAACACCATCTCCAGTATATTATTTTAAAAACTGCGTTTTAAAGCATATTCGAGAAACTCTAGAGCAAAGGTAAAAAGTTATATCATTACACATCCCCCCCCCCCCTTGAAAGAAAAAAAGAAGTCTCAAACACTGTTTTTCGGGTAGAGTCTCGTCCAGCTCTGCGTGGAGCACTGAAACAGTCCATAGTGCTCTGCGGAGTGAGACTTGGCGGTGGTTTCTTGTTTCGACGTTTGCCTAAGTGCATGCGTAGCATACTTGATGTGTAGATCTGCCTCCCATTGAGGAGCATGTTCTTCCTGTTTATTGAGGTATATATTAGGCCTCGAATGCGGATCGCCAACAATGACACGCCTAGGGCGAAAGCACACGCCAAACTCTTTCAAAACAAACGATGTGTGCTTTCTGGTTTTGCCAGAATACATTACGACGTGAAAAAAATAGTAGCTTTTGACAATGCCCAGAGTTGACAAGAGAGAGGAGCTCGTCAACTTTCTGTTTTAAAGTAGCATATGATGATAAGCATCTCTATCACGCCTAATATGCCCCTGAGCAGGCCAACACAGAAATACAACCATAAGAAGGTGTCGTTAAGCAGAGTGAAACCTTATGCTCGCTCGATCCTACACAGAAGAGAACGCCAACAAGAATGTCACACAGTGCGAAAAAAGTGGTCAGAAAGTGAGCATCACGACATACTCGCAGCATAATGAGGCTGCACTACTGCCTTGTACTTCTAAGTAAAAAAAAAGAAAAAAGGGAAAACGCCTTTTTGCTAAGAAACTTACCAGACCTTCTGTCAGAAGCACCGTTCACCTCACCTGAACTCACGCTTGCACACGTTTCACAGCATGTCGTAGCCTGTGAATTGAACTAACGAATCGACATTTGTACGATAGGTAACTAAGAGGCCTGCTTTCTATGCTCTTTTCAGGCGGTAGCAAAGTGTATACGTCCTACTACCCGTACTGCAACTACGAGAACTGCCTTGTTGCGAAGATACCGTACAACAACGAAGACCGTAAGCTACATCATTTTGTACATGGACAAGTTAGTTCATTCTCAATTAACGGAAACAGATCAAGTGTCCCAACATCATGGGGATAGGACAGAAGCCACTATTTCCCCACGTAGCAAATTATAGATGCACAATTCCTATAAATGTAAACATTTTGTATGGCTAGTTGCGATCATTGACACATGTGGTTTTATCACAGTGTCGTAACTGGTGCGTAAGTTGCGACGTTATGTACAGCCTAAAGTTCACAAGCCGGCTTGCACCCGTTGTCAGCGGTTTTCCTCTTGACAAGCGTACATTGCTCATTTGTTTGTTCATACTGAGTCTGAAGCAGTTTATTGAACGATACTGCTACAAATTACAAACCATGTAAACAATATTGGGAAACATGCCTTTCTAAACGAAAGCATAATTACTCGTGCCGGGTACTTTGCACCCTACTTCAAGAAGCTTAAATTGAACAGTGCTTGCGGTGCTTCTAGTTCAACTTTCCCTGAACAAGTAGTGTTGTATAGCATCTCGAGCGTATATCTAATTTAAGGTGAGGTGGAAATGAATTTTTCCTTCTGCAGCTTTTTATTCTTATTTCGCCCTCCCAAAGAGTAAAATGGTCAACGCAGCACGCTCTCAGTGGACGTCCTCGTATTTGTCCTTAGTTTATCTCATTTCCTCCAAGATGCTTCATTGAGCGTTATGACTAATTAGAGGTTTTGAGCTCTGAAAATCACTGAAATTATTGTCAGACTTGGCATGAATTTCACTCGGCGCATCTGTCACGGAACTTTTTTCATCAACATGAGACATAAACGCCATCAAACGTTTGGGAATAGGGAGTGTCGTTTTCATAAGTAGTGAGCTCTTTTTTAATGTTCATTACCTAGTCGACGTGTTCACTACACTTAGTTTGAACAAAAATAGTGTACTATAGGCTACTCTTCTATACGATAGCTTTCTTCAAATTGGTTGGTCACTCATTTGGTCCTAAAAATAAGGTTTTTCAAGTAAATAAATCAAGATAGGGTTCTAAATATAAGGTAATAAGGTTATTACCTAAAAATAAGGTAATAGGCTATTGTGTACACTGGTCCGCCAGTTCCAAGGCACCTAGCCGCAAACGAGCCTTTAAACTGTCAGCCTACACTTCCTAAAGCTCCAGTACCTCAGAAAGCTGTGGATACAAAATATGTCCGGAGTGGAGGGGTGGGGGTGTGGGTATTCACATTATCGTCAATATTTAGCGCTGTCGTAAGCTTGCGCCTAGCAATGTTACTGCTGAAAGCTAAAGCGTCCTTAACATGCATTCTAAAGTGCTAAGAATGCGAGAGTCTCCAACAGATGATCAATGAAATCTCGCTATCAGATATTCTGTATTTTACTTGGCGATGAAAGTGGAAGCAGGACATAAAAAATGAAAATAAGTCATCCAAGTGCTTCGCGTGTTCCTTTTAAGTGCCACTAAGATATAATTGAAACCGTATACTTTGGAAAGTTCTATGTATTTTACATTTCAGAGCTTACTACTTCAGTTTTCGAGTACTCACAGATGCATTAAATTCTATCGATGAGTAAAGTTCATAATATTGCTTGAAGTGACGAAATATTAAATTTACTTTCTAAACGGCCTTAGACAACATCTGTATTAAGCATTACCTTTGTGAGGAAAACCACCCTGTTTTTTGTGTGTGTGTGTGTGTTAAAAAGAAATTCATCCAAAAGAAGTTAAATATGATTACCGCACGTTTTCAGTGCACTGGGCAAGCGCTTTCCAATATTATTTGGCGTTGCACACCTTCATTCGTTCACTGCTGCGTCATACAAAGCTTCATGGGTTTTTATTGACGCGGCATAAAAACACGCCCATGACACATCTATCAAATCCATAATCTCTGAAATATGCATATAGTAGCTGACTTGCGTTTTACGAGCTTGAGTATTAGGAGTGTTAGCAAGAGCCATTGGAGACCACGACCAGGAAAGCGAATCATTTTTTCAATAAATGTCTTGAAGTGTACATCAAATAGGAGTGGGAGGTAAGCTAACGTGTGAGGTGGGCACTTGAGCGTAACACTCGACACTATTGCTGAAACAATAACCCCCGTGAAAAGAAACCTAGAGATCCATCATAGAAAAAAAGTCGCGATGGAACCAAGAATAGACTAAAGGGAGGTAGTTTTGTCTAAAAAAACGATATGTAGCAATTTTGTCGAAAAATCAAAAGCGTAAACCACACAACAGCGGACTACAAGCATGACTAACGCCCCACACGGCCACTCGCCATTGTGCAGATCTTTCGCCATACTCAAAACAGATGTGCGTTATCATTGCTTTCATACGGAGTCTCAAAGTTGTCTGGTAGGTCCACACTACGCAGACAAATTTATTGATAATTTTTCACATTCAAGTTCAACGCAAAGGGCACAGAAAGACCACGAAGCGGAGGAAAAAGCAAAAACTATTTTTTAACAAAGCGCTTGCTACGTCAGTCGTGCTCTACATGTTAGGCATGAGGGAATTGAAAGAAATCTGTCTCCATTCTGACCTGCGGAGGCCTATGTACTTCAACGCTGTTGGACAAGCGCCACCTGTGTGTTTGATAGCAAGCGCGAGTGCCGCCGTAATACATTTCAACAGGCACTGTGCGGTGGCGCAGTGGGACACAGAAACGCGTTTGTATGAGTTAGACAGTTTCCGTAACGTGACATTAAATTGAAAACTATGTAGTGAAGAAGAGGAGCTTCAGCGGCATTTCTCGGCGCATCAGGGGCATAGCCATCAGCATAAGCTCGTGCTTGCTGCGCTTGGCCGGACGCTGCTGACTGCTTTGCTTTCTGCGTTCTGCGCAGCAAATAAACCCCGTTACAAGTGGTGGATTCTGCTGGGTTTCGATCACCCTGGAGCTTCGGAATCGCATTTTACCATCCATTATGCCTACCGACGCAAGCGCCGCTCCAACTCCTCCACCGGCACCGCCTACTGTTCTCTGCGCCGGTTCACTGCGTCTGCGAGATCCCCCTGTCTTCTCAGGCACAGAAGACAAGGACGTTGACGACTGGATTTCAATGTACGAGCAAGTGAGTACTCACAACAAATGGGATGACACCGCCAAGTTGGCCTACGTCTCTTTCTACCTGTCGGACGTGGCCAAGCTGTGGTTTATAAACCACGAAGCGGAACTCCCTACATGGTCGGTCTTCAAAACGAGCCTCACACAAGTTTTCGGGCGGCCTGAGGTACGCAAACGCCGTGCCGAACAACGCTTACATACTCGGTCCCAGCAGCTTGGTGAGAATTTCACAAGCTATATTGAGGATGTTCTGGACCTTTGCAAGCGAGTGAACGAGTCAATGTCCGAAGAGCTTAAGATCAAGCATATCATGAAGGGCATTGAGGACGACGCTTTCCAAATGTTGCTTTCTAAGAGTCCTCGCACTGTCCTAGAACTGACCGAGTTATGCCAGAGTTTTGACGAGTTGCGCAGGCAACGTCTTTCCACCCGACGTCCCTCGGTGCTCGACGACTCTTCGTCCAGCCTTTCCACCCTTGGCATAGGAGAAGACCATGCACCTCTTCTCTCCAAGATCCAAGAGTTCATCCGCGCTGAGTTCGCTCGTCAGCTCTCTTTGATGTCCTGTGTAACCGATCAACCACGCAGATCGCCGTCTACACTCCGCGACTTCATTCAAGACCAGGTCGCACAAGTTCTTCTTCCCTCCCGTGAACCTCCCCCAGTCGCCGCACCTCTCACGTACGCCGAAGCCGTTGCTCGACCTCGACAGCCTGCGTTCCAGTCAGCGCTTATGTATTCGCCGCCGCCCTTTTCGCCGCCGACCTATTCACCGCCGACCTATTCACCGCCGCCTATGCCGATACCACCTCGGCCGCAGTTTTCTGCCCCCCAGCCGCAAGTCGGAGTCTACTCCGACCAATGGCGGACCTACGACAACCGTCCCATATGTTTTCTTGTGGTGGTGTTGGCCACGTGGCACGTTATTGTCGTCGTCGCCAGGCTGCCCAGAACATTCGACGAATGCTCTCTTTCGACCCTCAGTTTTCGTGTACGCCTTAAAGCCCTCCTTCCTCTTCCTTTCCTTCTGATCGTCCACACGGCCCGACCCGCCCGCTCCCCATCTCCACGTCGACGTTCGCTTTCCCCTATGCGTCGCCGTTCCGGACCCACCGACCAGGAAAACTAACGGCCGCAGTTCCCGAGGCACGAACTGCGTCCCCGTCGCCATGCACAAGTCCTCGCCCCTGTCCAGCTAACGTCATTGAAGTGTCAGTCGATGGTATCGTCGGCATGGCGCTTGTTGACACCGGAGCCGCTCTATCTGTCCTGTCCATGAACCTGTGCCGCAAACTCCGCAAAGTTCTGACGCCATTATCCGGCCTCTCTCTTAAAACGGCTAACACAGAAAGTGTAACACCTCTCGCAGCCTGCACCACAAGAGTCGTCATCGAAGGGATTGTGTATATTGTCGAATTCTTAGTGCTGCCCTCGTGTTCCCATGACATGATACTCGGCTGGGACTTCCTTGCGAATAATAATGCCGTCATTGACTGCTGTCGCGCTGAACTTGAGCTATCTGCACTTCCTGATGTTGACGCTGTCGAAGCCTCCCTGCCGTGTTATAAACTGTTTGTTTCCGACGACACCACCGTACCACCGCGCTCTTCTCTGCTGGTGACTGTGTCGTATGACGCTATTTCCGACGGTGATGTTTTATTTACGCCCTCTGCCCTGTTCATTCAACGGAAATGTTCTCCACTGCCCATCGCTCTCCTTACTCTCCACCATGGCGTCACGAAGACGTTCGTGTACAATACGCTAGAAGGGCCTTTACCTTTATTCTATAGTGAATGTCTCGGTCACGTGCATCCGATCGACGCCCGTCACATTTTTGACGCTCTGTCTAGTTTACTTTCTACGGACCTCAGCGCACTTATTTCTGACCCTGTTGTTGACCAGTCACTCCTTGACGCTTTCCACCGCTCCATCGATGTCACAACGTCTTCGTCAGAACGAAGCCAGTTAGTGAACCTGCTGCAAAAGTTTCGTACTTCTTTTGACAGCCACGCTTGTGGCCTCAGTCGCACATCGAACATATCTCACAAGATTGACACAGGAAGCCATACGCCTCTACGGCAGCGCCCCTACCGAGTCTCAGCGTCGGAGCGCCGTGTTATTGACGACCAGGTTGCTGACATGCTCCAGCGGGGTATTGTACAGCCTTCTAACAGTCCCTGGGCGTCACCGGTCGTTCTTGTTAAGAAGAAGGACGGCTCCATTCGGTTTTGTGTGGACTATCGACGTTTAAACAAGATCACCCGCAAGGACGTTTACCCGTTACCTCGAATAGACGACGCCCTTGACTGTTTGCAGGGAGCAGAATACTTCTCTTCGCTGTATTTACGGTCTGGATACTGGCAAGTTCCTATGGAAGCATCTGACCGACCGAAAACAGCATTTGTCACACCTGATGGGTTATACGAGTTTACCGTTATGCCTCTCGGCCTTTGTAACGCTCCAGCCACTTTTGAAAGAATGATGGACGCTATTTTACGAGGCCTCAAGTGGAACACATGTTTATGCTACCTCGATGACGTAGTTGTCTTTTCCACTGATTTCTACACCCATTTAAATCGTCTCGAGCACGTCCTCACACGTCTCACCGACGCCGGCCTTCAACTCAAACTCAAGAAGTGTCGTTTTGGTGCTCGGAAGCTCACCATTCTTGGCCACGTTGTATCGCGGGACGGCATACTTCCCGACCCCGCCAAGCTTCGAGCAGTCGCCGATTTTCCGAAGCCAAAGAACTTGAAGAAACTTAGAAGTTTTGTCGGCTTGTCGTCATATTTCTGACGCTTTATTAGAAATTTTGCTTCTGTATGTGCGCCCCTTACGGACCTTCTTAGCGGCGACAAGGACCTTTCCACCTGGTCACCAGCATGCGACGATGCATTCACCAAATTACGCCACCTGCTGACTTCACCACCCATCCTCCGCCACTACGATCCTGCCGCTCCCACGGAGGCTCATACTGATGCCAGCGGTGTTGGACTTGGCGCTGTGCTCGCGCAACGAAAGGCAGGGTTTGATGAATATGTCGCCGCCTAAGCAAGCCGTACTTTGACGAAAGCCGAGGCCAACTACTCCGTGACCGAGAAAGAGTGTTTAGCTATTATTTGGGCCCTTGGAAAATTTCGCCCTTACCTGTATGGCCACGCATTCGACGTCGTCACTGACCACCACGCCCTTTGTTGGCTATCCACACTTGAAGACCCTTCCGGACGACTTGCTCGCTGGGCGCTCAAACTTCAGGAATACGACATCCGCGTTATTTACAGATCTGGTCGTAAGCACACGGACGCCGACGCCCTTTCTCGCTCACCCATATCGGATGAAGGTGTTTGCCTCCCTTCCCTCGAGCCTGCACTTGCGTCATCCGCCTTGCGCAACATGACGGTGGAACAACAAAAGGATCCCTGGATCAGTGGCCTCATAAGCATTCTTTCTGATTCTCTCACTCTTTCGCCGTCTCGCGCTCTCCGCCGCCAGGCTAGCAACTTTTGCCTAAGGAATGATCTTCTTTATCGACGCAACTACCTTTCTGACGGTCACAAGTGTCTCCTTGTGATACCCCGCCATCTTCGAGCTGCCATCTGCGAAACTTTTCACGTGGACCCACAGTGCGCCCACGCAGGCCTCTTCAAGACATACGCTAGGCTTCGACTCAGATATTATTGGCGTGGCATGTATAACTACGTGCGAAAGTTCATTCGCTCGTGTGCTCAGTGCCAACGACAAAAGTTACCTCCCGGGCAAGTCTACCCGTCACAACCTCTTCCTTGTCCTAGTCGACCTTTTGATCGCGTCGGCATTGACATTTACGGACCACTACCATCAACTCTAGCTGGCAATCGCTGGATTATTGTTGCGATAGGCCATCTGACACGCTATGCCGAAACAGCCGCGCTGCCGACTGCCACAGCCCGTGACGTTGGAACGTTTCTGTTGCAACGTTTCATTCTGCGTCATGGTGCCCCTCGCGAGCTCTTAAGTGACAGAGGCCGTGCCTTCCTTTCTGACGCCTTGAAGGCATTACTCAACGAATGCCGAACCGTGCACCGCACAAGTACAGCGTACCACCCTCAAACAAATGGCATGACGGAGCGCTTCAACCGTACTTTTGGCAGTATGCTGTCGATGTACGTCGCCTCTGATCATTCAAATTGGGACCAAGTTCTCCCGTTCGTCACCTACGCGTATAATACTGCCGTACAAGCTACTACTGGGTTTTCGCCATACTTTCTTTTGTACGGACGAGAACCTTCAAATACAGTAGACACTATTCTTCCATATAAACCTTATGAGTCCGAAAGTACAACTCTGTCCGAAGCTGCCCGACATACTGAAGAATGCCGCCAGCTTGCCTCCTCTTTTTCTACCGAGGACCAGTGGCAGCAGCAATCCCGCCAGACTGGGGACCGTTCGGCTCCAAACTTTCCACCTGGTTCATTAGTATGGCTTCGGGCACCTGCTACCGCGCCTGGCCGCTCCGCAAAACTTCTTCCAAAATACATCGCGCCATACCGCGTTGTAGAGCGAACGTCACTCGTCAACTATATCATGGAGCCCATCATCCCATCCACAGACCTACGCTACCGTGGCCGCGACACTGTCCACGTCTCTCGTCTCAAGCCATATTACGACCCATTAGTCGTTTCTTCTCCCTAATCCGCCAGGATGGCGTCTTTTTGTGTGGAGGGCGATTGTAGTGAAGAAGAGGAGCTTCAGCGGCATTTCTCGGCGCATCAGGGGCATCGCCATCAGCATAAGCCCGTGCTTGCTGCGCTTGGCCGGACGCTGCTGACTTCTTCGCTTTCTGCGTTCTGCGCAGCAAATAAACCTCATTACAACTATAACAACCGTTATACATGTCTCTTGTTGATGCCCCGCAAAGTGTGTTTTCTTGTAAACTTTGGTAGCGCTATATCCGAACTGTAGTACACGTAATCTGTTTAGCTATGTACCCTGCACTTCTGATGCCCGACGCCGTGAGTGGTAGAGCGCTGGAGATATCGATATTCATCAGAACTACTTGATGTCATTAGGGCCTAGTAACGTGAAAGTAACATCCGATGTTTGAGCTCAGTACGTTTCCTAATTTTTGGTGCTGAATACTAGAAAACGGTATCAGTATTTCTGAGGCATGGTATAAAAAATTCTGACCAACGATACACCAACTGGTATAATACAAAATCAATGAAAAATCATGCTATAGCGTGAGCAGCGATTGCAATGAGGTAGCACTGGTCAAGGGTGCGTGCCACTCCTGTGATGAGATGTCAGTCGTCACCTTATGAAGCTACATAAGTGACGCGTCAATGGGTTACCAACAGCCTTATCAAAGGATGTGTGGCGCTTCACATCACGGCTTGCATACGGGCCTGTTATTGGAAGGGCAAAATTAAAAAAAAAACAGTGATGTCTGTGGTTTATTGCACGCGGAAAGCCGATGTTTTAGGTAACATGAATGCAGACGATGCACAAACTAGCGATGCACATACAAGGTAAAAACGTTGCCATCGCTATGGCACTACTAAATATAGTACACGGTGTATAGCTCCTAGAAGTCATGACGTGCGGGTAAGATTATTTCTTAGGTTAGCAGGATCACGGCAGCAGCCAAGTGTTCTGCGTGTTTCAGGGAGAAAGTCACATGGGCATCTCTATTACTTAATGGTGGCTGTGCGCTGTGATCTGTGGGAGCACACTCTGTTGATTTCTTTGACAAAATTATGCCGGAAGTAAGTTTCTTGTGCACGAATTTAGGAACGTCATGACGCCTGTGAACATTACAGCTCAAATATGGCTAAACCCGCATTACCTCTCTTGTTGCTTAATCTTGCAAGGTGTAAAATAGGTCTACAACATCACTCAATACGCGTTGCCTCATTTATTTGAACAAATTACCTTTGCTGAACAGAATGCAGGCAAGTCCATTGCCTGGCTCCTTTTTTGCGGTAATTGTTAAATAAGTGCTCAATTCATAATGATGCTGTATTTAAGAAGACAGTGTATGAAATTGACTGACGTTAAAATGCTTGTAACCTAGAAAGTGCACCATGTTTCTGTGTACGTTTTGTTTCAGTTTGTATACTGTGGATTACGCCAGAAGTGGTGGACAATATTCCGCATGAGTGCCTATCCCAGTACCACGTTACATGCCCTGTGGAGTACAGAGCCTACTACAGCGACATCTGCTAGACGTACCTGGCATAATGTGACAGGATGCATACATGGGAACTTGTGTGTAGTGCACATCAACTGAACAACAGTTAATATTTAGTAACTAATGGCTGTTTAAAGTGCGTAGTGTTTCTTAGTGAACCAAATGTATATAGTGTTTCTCTGTAACCACTTTCTTCGTAACTTAGTCTATAGGCCTTTGGTTACTCGACTTTAATATCATGACATTACTCACGTCCAAATATTGTAATGTACGTCCTGAATCCCCTTCCTGGAATTCAAATGTAGCACACACCCCTAAACCCTGGACCATGCTATTCGAAGTGTATTGGCGGCAGATCTGTGTGAGATGGAGTGACATCAGCCTCACTTTTGAAAATCATCCTTACGGAACCTCACAAAGCGCTATGCGAGTATATGCGAGCAGCTGGTTGTGATATCCACTTTCGGAATGCACGTATGATTGTATAAATCAAATATTTGTTGTTTAAGCATGAGGGTATTATAAAAGTAGGCATGAACAATACTGACGAAACGACCTCAAAGAATAAAAATCGCTGAATCCAGCTAGGAATCAGACTAAGGCATTCTGCATGCCACTTGGGTAATTCTACCACAGATCTTGAAGCTGCGTAAGTATGGAAGCTTGAGCTAGTTAGTATGTGTTCACCTTGGTTGAACAGCACACACGAGAAGACGATGAAGTGCCTACCTGTGTTCTTTTACTTCGGTGTCGCCTCGTGTGCACTGTTCAATCAAGATTTTGATGCTGCCTTGGTGAAAGTTCTTATGCAGATGGAACATCAGTAGAAAATCGGTTGTAGTTGAAGTTCTGACTATAAATTTTCATTGAAAAGTTATTGATCTTTCCTTCACAGGAATCGAAATAACTCGAAAGAGAAAACGTGTCTTACAGACCTTTATAGTTTCACGTTTACTGTAGATAATATAAGAAAGTTTTCGCAGTGTATTTTGCTCTTTATAGCCTATTATAGTACGCACATATTTCACTGCTATAGCACCATTTCAAACAGGATCTTCCAAAATGACACTTGGTGATATCTCTCTATTCCGACCAAAACCTTCATGATGATTGACTAAACATACATTTGTGAGCATAAATTCTTGGGTAGCAGTTACCGGATAGAGCGAAATCACAGACCACGTTGTGACAGCCAGAAGAGCCCGACTAATTGGAGGTTCTGCCACTATTGTAGAGCATGTAATGTACCAGTAGAAAGTGAATTACGCTGCCACGAAGCAGGGCGGTCTGATATGGGTACTGTGTTGAAAATATAGGCCGTGCTTTTAAGTTTCATGCAGATGAAGAGAACGACGTGTGATAGGCATTGCAGATATGCACTTCAGACGCGAGTTATAATTTAATGTGTATAAATATTGTAGTGTTGTGTAAAAAACTTCAAGGTATTTTATATTCTCTGGATAAAGAGACGTCATAACGCAACAACCGAGAAAAGAGCACCAGATTGGTCTTTTGAGTAACAAGCGCAGTGAGTTCTCGTTTATTATTACTGCCTGCTGTATGCAGGATGAGCCCATTCAGATTGACACTTTTCTTGCCGCACGCACGTGGAAATATTCATTCGCGAAATAAAGTCTTTTATTATATCGCGTATTGTGTTTTTCAGTATTTGTTCTTAGTTATTGTCTGATTCAATTATTGAAGTTTTCAAATCAATCGCACTCTATTTGTGTAAAAAATGACTATCATCCTCGATACACACTGGGTCTTGTTACTGGTACTAGTATAATCCGGGTGAAATTGTAAACCTTGCGTTCCATTGCACCGGGGCATGTCGATATGATTGTTGAACGTAACAGTGGGTTCATGATGTGATGCTCTATTGCAATGCGCAGCGTAATAAAGTTTATTGAGCACTATTCACTCCTTATTAAAACTTGTTGGGCTAGTTGGCAACTTTTCATATTGTAGGCACTGAGCGCAACTTGGTATTCCCTCGGAAAACATTCTAGAAGCACATATCACACACAGCGCTCTGTGTGGGTCTTAGTAGTTGCGTGCGGGAATGCGAGATTGTTTTTTGAGGGAATACTAAGTCACGCAAAGTGCCTGCATTATGACTGCTGAGTCTTCTGAGGCGGCTTCCACAAACGTGAACACCGCTCATCATGGTGCTTTGAACAAACGAGCACTCTACCTCTAAAGGAGATATTCTTTGGAACAAAACGTTAGAATGCTCGTGTGTCTGAACACATTTTTTTTATAATATACCACAATGTTTAACGAAATTACTGGCAACAATTTAGTTTTTGGTCATCGTAACAATAGTTTGGCCTATTATCAACATTGCACTTGCATAGGATAGCATACAGTGGAGTAATTGGACCATAGGTTACACATTAGAGAAGTTCTTTTTCCAGTACAAAGTGCACACTGTGTCCTGCAAAGTAATCTTGCAGACCACCGTAGGTGTCGTGGAGAACCTGTTATTAGGACTCTTCGTTAGATGTTCGTGATGCTGAGAATAAATTGGTATGTGGTGGCTGCACTTCGGATGGAAACGAAAATGCTGTAGGCCCGCGTGCTCAGATTTGTGTGTACGTTAACGAACCACAGGTGGTCGAAAACTCCGGAGCCTTCCACTACTGCGTCTTTCACATGGTGGCTTTGGGATGCTAAACCTCAATGTCAATCAGTGGATGAGATTGAATTGGTATGCACATACAAAATAATCCTGGATGTGAATATCACCCGCAGTTTGAATTTCTAAAGAAATTCCCAATGATAATCTTCTCACCACTAGCACTCTTTGATTGATTGATTGATTTGTGGTGTTAACGTCCCCAAACCACCATACAATCATGAGGGACGCCATAGTGGAGGGCTTCGAAATTTCGACCACCTAGGGTTCTTTAACGTGCACTCAAATCTGAGTACACGGGCCTACAACCTTTCCGCCTCCATTCCAAATGCAGCAGCCACAGCCGAGATTCAATGCCGTGGCCTGCCGGTGAGTAGCCGAGTACCTCAGCCACTAGACCACCGTGGCGGGGCACAATAAGCACTAACCCACCTAATGTTTTTTTGGAATAGATTATGAGTTCACCAGATAAATGTCTTTTTTTTTCAGTATTGCAAAGACTTGACCTTCAGCATAACGATAGCAAGATGATTATTGACAGCCACCTCAACCCAAAATGGTTAATAATTATTATAACTTGTGTGACTTTTTTTCAACAACTTTGAGTCTGTGATTGACCGTTAACCGAATTACTAAAAAGCGGCCGCAAGCGGTTTTAGTCAATAGGCTGATCCAAATCAAAACTCTCAAGACTTCCTCAAAACTGACAAGTTGTATCGGAAGCACTAAATTATATAAAAAGAGTCTTCAGATAGCTACCATGAGCATGAATGCAGACATGTTACTGCATAGAGAGAAAACTGTAGCTCCTCAGAGTTTATTTATACGACATTTTCATCGGCTATTTATTCAAATACTGTGTTTCTATATAAAGCTTTTTGTAAAGATCGTGCCTAGACTCTAAAATAGTATTGCGAATTCTAATATATGTAGTGGCAACCGAATAGAAGGATGTACACGGCGCTATTTTTTTCGCTACTGAAAGTGTTCAAATTTTCCCATGCTTTATGTGATGCGTTGAACCATGACTAACAGTAAGAAGCTTGCAGAAGCCTTGTAAGACTTGAAACTGAGGCTTACGTTGGGATGCTTAGATTTGATAACAAAATCAGCATTCCCGTTTCTGAGTTAGAAAGTCGAGTGTTGTTAACATGCATGGCACTGTTCAGGGCTTCTTTGGGAGTCACGCAATTTCCACAATTCTTCGTTATTGTTTAGAAACTCAGTCACTGGAGTCGTATATGTGCGCCCACTACAACAGTGAAAGTTCCCTTGAGACTAGTTTATTTGGTGGAGGAACAGGTTAATAATTATTACTTAGGCATATCGTTAGAATTATAGGTACTACTGTTCGTCAACACAAAGCGATGACTCGCTATGTTGTATGTGTGGCCTTAGGAAGCAGCGATCCATAATTCAGTAGCGTTGCGTTGGTAGCATCTCACAATGGTGAGGACAATGGCAACATTGCTTCGCAGTAGGCAGGCTTGAGACATTCGAGAGCGATTGTGACAGACTGGCCGTTAACATTGACGAGGAGTGTTGACGGAAGATGCTCCAGAACTCGGTATGACCCTAAGTAGTGCGGCCGCAAAGTCTTCCGCACAGCACAGTGGTTCCTAAAAACGTCTGCAGCTGAGCTGAGTTGTGGAGACACGCAACGAGCTCTCAGTTTCGTGCGGGCTTGTAAGCGCATGGCATATCCGCTAGAAGACGTTTTGCAGTTCGGAAACGTAGTCTCCTGGTAGTAGCACAGGGTGTCTTGGCTGGGGGATTGACGAAGTCGCGTGAAGCGCTTGGCGAAACTACCGTAGATTGAATCTGCCCTATGGGTAGCCCAGGTTGCTTTTGATGGCAAGTGTAATGCCAAGCAAGAGAAGTTATGGCACAGAGGTTGTTGAACTACCCACATGAAGTGGGTAGTTCAGCAACTTTTGTGCCATAATTCATGCGCCATAAGGGAGGATTTCAGACTGATGTGGAAACGCTCAACCAGCCTATTCGTTTTCAGTGGTTGAGCAAGCATTGCATGGTGTACACCGATTTCAGGCGCATAGAGCGTCGGCAATCCATAAAACTGACAACCGGTCAAGCTTGTCAGTTTTCATAAATCAGCCATCGAAATTCTTATCGCTAACGGTAGTGGTTGCGTAAGTTTAAAAATGCACTTTAATGTCCCCGTTGAGTGCGTCATTTGATCGGGAGGTTACAAAAAATAAAAATAGAATTGTCGTATCGAATATGGCTGGTAGTTAAAAAGCCAGTGAGCAATGTAGCAACTATTTTTCGAAAGCGACACCCGCAAAGAGGCATGTGAGCTGTGAAACTTTGGAGGCTAGAGATGTTGGCACTCGGTGGTGCCAAGTTTTTAGCGCATGACAATGCCATCACTGACGTCAGTAACTCATAACAAGCTTCGTTTGGAAAACTTCAACCAGAAAAGGTAAGGTAGTGAAAACCGGGCTGTTCATTGATATTTCGTATGACTAAACCAAGTATCTGATTCGCACATATGAAGTACCAATGAGTAATTAAATGACAACCTAGTAAAATAACTTGGTTTAGCCACAAACGCTTGACCTTCCATCTGGTATAAACAGGTTATTTAGGCGCGATTGCGTGAAAGAACTCATTTCACATAAAATTCAGCGGTGATGTCAGCGTGGGCATCAAGTCAATGGTTAGAAGAGAAAGATCATCTAAGTGACCAAAGGAAACGAGAAAGATTCATATAAAATAAAAAAAAAAATCGCCAGGCGTGGGTGAAACGCACGACCCCGTCACAGTAAAAGCTTGAAGAGTGGTCTTGCGTAACCTTTTTTAACACCTTTTTGGGTAACTGCTCCAAGCACACTTGCAGGGTACCCACCATGCCATAAATATTCATAATTTTAGCGTAATGGGCCGGCATTCACTATGCTTTCTTTCGCCATTGTTCATAAAAGGGCTGTAGCCACTACACGCTGGCAAAGAATGTTTTGCAATTTTTATGCAGTGGCTGACTACGACAAAAAATTCTGCCTAAAGTTTATAGGCGTTCCTGTATTAAGGTGAAAAAGCACAAGCTTTGCATGGCGTTGTAGAACTGAACGCACGACTCTTTACGCAGTTCTTATTGTGTGACAACTTGTTGGTTCTTTTGTGTTCTAAAACGCTTTATTACTCATATTAACACGATTTCTTTCCCCAAATTAAGTCTGCTTAAGGCAAGTTTGGAAGGAAGTATCTAGTACCGGTGTATTTCTGTGGCAGAATACTGGGCTGGCACGCAGGTGACCCAGGTTCGCATCTCGTTGATTCCTTGGTGTTTGTATTTACTCAGTTTTGTTTTCTCGTTTTGTGTTATAGTGGTAACGGACACCGGCAGCGGCGGACAACTACAGCCCGTATACAACCCATTCTGTGGTCTCGTAACAGCTTTCACTGTAATAAGTATGTACATATACGAGCGCTCATTACACCATGTAATGCCCCTGCTTGCAAACGCAATAAAAGAACTTCGCCTGTTGAGAAATGCAGTGAAACTAACTTTCATGCTTTAAAGTCACGCCCTCTGAATATCTTTTACAATTAGACATCTAAAATCGCAGTATTATTAAGTGTTACAAGCGTAAAATGCCATAGGGCGTCATAAATGTGATTATCATAAACACTTTGTGGTTTGAAGCCTGCTTTTAGGTATACGTTTTGCAGGGGCGTCTGCGTAAGCAGGCATTTGGTGTGTAGTGACCCGAGTAACAGGGGGATTCTAACCAGACAAAAATTGGCCCACCTGGTGCAGTATCTGGCCACTACTTCTCACATGCAAACGGTAATTACCTCCCGGCACTCAGTCCCCAGCAGCTGCCAAGCAACTGACCATGACCATGGCGGTGGTCAGATCTGCAACGCAGCAGAGGGTGATAAGAATCTCTGGATCTGTACAGGCCGCCATGGGAACCTGAACTTGGCAACGTTTACCGCTAGAACCCTATCTAGTGAGCCAATTCTAGCTGTACTATTCGAGAAGCTAGAGGGTGTTAAATGCGATATAATAGGGCTCAGTGAGGTTAGGAGGACAGATGAGACCTATACGGTGCTACGGAATGGGCACGCTCCTTTGCTATCGGGACTTGGCTGACAGAAGAGAACTGGGAGTGGGGTTCCTAATTCACAGGAACATAGGTGGCAACGTAGAGGAATACTACAGCATTAATGAAAGGGTGGAAGGTATTGTAATTAAACTCGATAAGAGATACAAGATAAAGGTGGTACAGGCTTACGCGCCTACATCCA